AGCGAGAGAGGGAACACAAGCAGGGGGAGTGGGAGAGGGAGAAGCAGGCTTCCCGCCAAGCAGGGAGCCCGATGCGGGGCTCAATCCCAGGACCCTAGAATCATGACCTGAGCCGAAGGCAGACACTTAATGACTGAGCCACCCAGGCGCCCCTTGCTTGAGAACTTTTAATGACTGCTTATTATTTCATAGTTATGTATAAACCACAAATTATTAAACTCATTGGAAAATTGTTTTTTTCTCCCCCCTTGTTTTTACTGCTATAAAATTCTGATAAAGATAGCTTGAAACTTGATTGCTTTCTTAGGTTATTTTCCTGCAGTTAAATTTTATGAGCAATTTTTAAAGGTGTTTGATGCATGAAATTCCACAGCACTCTGGGTGTATACTTTTGTGTTACAGAGTGTGTTAATGACAGCTACTGGTTTGGGAGAGATAGAAGCTGTGAATACTGCTTTGATGAGCCACTGCTGAAAAGAACCGATAAATACCGGACTTATAGCAAGAAGCACTTCCGGATTTTCAGAGTAGGTGACAAATATCCGTATATTTGGGAGAACCGGTAATGTCATCACCACCCTGAGATATCTTAGCACTGTAACTCCCCACTGTTAAAACTTTGAAATAAAATGTTCTCTGTTTTAGGAAATGGGTCCTAAAAACTCTTACATCGCATACATAGAAGATCACAGTGGGAATGGAACCTTTGTAAATAGAGAGCTGGTAGGGAAAGGAAGACGCCTTCCTTTGAATAACAATTCTGAAATTGCACTTTCAGTATGGAGTAATAAAGGTAACATTACTATCTTCTGGTTACTGGATCGTTTTTTTCCTCTCCTATAAAGGGAAAACTGACATTGTGCCCTTGGCAGAGTATGGTTTGGATAAATAAAGTAAGAAGGTTAGTATTCAGGATCCAACGCAGCCCTAGGTGCATTTTTAAAAGGTAACATTACTATCTTCTGGTTTCTGGATCGTTTTTTTCCTCTCCTATAAAGGGAAAACTGACATTGTGCCCTTGGCAGAGTATGGTTTGGATAAATAAGGGAGGGTCAGAGGGAGAGAGAAAAGCAGACCCTCGCTGAGCAGGGAGCCCGACATGGGGCTCAGTTCCAGCACCTTGGGATTATGACCTGAGCCAAAGGCAGATGCTTAACCGACTGAGCCACCCAGGTGCCCCTATATTACTGTTTTTTAAAGTTTCTTTCTTTTTTTTTTTTTAATGTATACGTGCTATGCATTTCTTCTATTTCATTTTTTAAAAGATTTTATTTTTAGGTAATCTCAACACCCAGCATGGGGCTTGAACTCACAACTCTGAGATCAAGAGTTGCATGCTCTGCCAACTGAGCCAGGCAGGCGGTTCTTGTTTTTAAAATTTCTTGTATTGAGTTACCTTGTCCATTTTTTCTTATGTTTGAGCTGTTTGTATTTATTTCTCTTGTAAATTGTCTCTTCATATCCTTTATCCAGTTTTTACTGGATTGTTTGTCTTTTTTTTTAATTTGTAGTAACTTGAGACATATTACAGAAATTACTACTTTGTGATATGAATTGCTAATATTTTGCCTGGTCTGTCTTTCTCTCAACATTCTACTTGCCCACTATATTCATGTCCTCGGTGCTGGAACTATATAACACAGGAGACCCAAGGCTGGCCTCCTGGAGTTTGTTGTAACAGGGGAGTGCAGGGAGACAATATGTAAATAATAAAGATAACTTCCAGTTATGGTCCATTCTTAGTGGGCAACAAAGCAGGATGTCATTATGATAACGGGTGATGAGGTAGGAGTCTGCTTATATGGAAAGCTGAGTGGAAGATGATACTTTGAGTCCAGACACAAAGGCAAGATGGCAGTTCAAGTTGCTGGGAACAGAGAATGCAAAGGCCACCAGGGGGGTTGAACCCAGAATATTTGGGGCAGTGGAAGGTGCCAGTGGGACTGGGTAGAGTGATCAAGGGGAGCAGTACAAGGTGATGCTGGGAGGGAAGCAGGGGCCAGATCCTGAGCATCTGTCCTGCCATGGGAAAGAGTACACATTTTATACTAAGTATGATGGGAAGCGTCAAGAGGGTAATAGGAAGTTATTAGATTATAAGTGTTTTTTCAAATCATTAATAATTGCTTGAGAACTTTTTTTTTTT